TTTCACCAGGTTACTGACGTATTGATGGCCTACATTTTTGCCAGGATGCCTCTCATTAAAAATGCGTGCGGTTCTACGAGCACACGAATCAAATCCGTTATTAAAAATTAATTCGGTTTTTTCTGCTAAAGTAAACTCCAGTTTTCTAATATTTAGGTAGTTTGATATATCAATACAAATATTTTAACTAAAACGTGTAACAACTTTGTTAAAGGTAAATTAAAACGAAGCAAATATATGTATATGTGAACTGGACTACGGAAAGGTATCTATGGTTACACATAAAAAAATCTAACATAGTACCAAGAATAGCGCTGTCATTGAATGCATTAAAATTGAAGCAATCTAAATTGTTATTTGCTTAATTAATTACTATTAAACCAAAATAGGGAAATATTTTGCCTAAATGTCAAAGAATTTATTGCGTTAAATGTATACATAGTAAACGTTATTAAATAAATCAAATTAGTATTTAATGCAATAACATTCTAACAAATAAATATCAATATGAATATCAATAGATTTAGGAGCGATAACTTTTGTTGTTAATTTAAAAACAGTAAACGATTATAAACCGTGCTAACTACCTATTGGTATTATAGGAACTGTTATTCAGGAATACGGATTACAAGATCCCATTGGTTTATTGGCTCACCCATTCATGCTATGCTAGAGTTTTTTCTGTGTAGAAATCAAGTTTTCTTGATTTTCGAGTGGGTGGGTTTTCGTTGTTATGCAGCTAATTTAAAATTGTTTTAATTTGTGAAAGTGCAGAATGGATTTAGAAGAAGAATTTAAACCAGTGGAGAAACAATATTTTGCGTCTTTCGATATGTCTCTTCAGGATATTGACAAAAATAAAAGATCACAAAAAGAAATTCTTGATCTATTTACAATTTTTTTCGCGATTTTTATAATTTATGTTGAACTTTAAGGATGATTTCCAGCAAAAGTTTTAAACTTAGGAGTCAGCGGTTTCGATCAAAAAACAAAAGTTGATTCTTCCGACCATACATAGGTACCTACCTTTCCAGGTCACATATATATATTTTTTGATTTTTGTTTTATTTATATCACACCGTTTTGGTTCTATATAACTACTTATTTTTCCGATTGTACAGGTTGGAGCAAAAAAATTTACACTATAAACTATAAACATTATACGTTTTGAATGTAAATTTTCTTCCTACAAACCCTGTAAAGAATCTAAAAAATAAGTGGGTGGTTATTATCACTTTTTCAGTGAAGTTTCAAATGACCCCAAATCCCATTAAAACAATGTGACCTCGTAGGTACTGTAAGACGCCATTTTGAAAAATATTCCAATTTTTTCTACGTAACAATATTATTAAATTTCTTGTTTTACATACTTACTAAAATTTCGAATTTGTAATTTAACTAAAATAAAAACTAACACCCTAAAAATTAAAAGATTAAAAAATATTTTGATCGCATTACAAAACAGCGTGTTTTATACAACATTTTTATGAAACCAACGTATTTACATAATTGGTACGTAATACATAATTTATTACAGATTTTCCACGCTGAACGTTTCTTATTAGCACGAACATAAATATTTGTATACTTTTATTCGCTGTCTATTTTTAGTAGGATATTCAAGCACGTGCTTGCGAAAATTAAATCAGGAAGCAAAAATCGATTTAATTTGCATCCTCAGATTCATAAAAACAAGTTTCACTCTCGCACAATTTACGCCATCCGATGCAATTTTCTCGCGGAATAGAAATTATGCGCACATTAAAAATAGTGTGTTTATTTTTAATATCGCTTGAAAACTGCTGTAATACGGCTCTGATTTAAGACGATAGATACCCCAAATTAACATGCCTTGTTTATTTACTCTATTTTACATTGAAAAATAATGTCTATCGTATTGGCACATAGAATAAATAGTCTCAGTATTTTTTTTGCTTAGAATGCTGAGTGTTCAAACCATGTCCAGTGAAGCGTCCTTATCAGTGAATAATTTGACAATACATAGTGATTGTGATCTTTACAGCGAGGATAATAGGAAGGAATCGGTTCCGTTAGTGAAAATAAGCACGCTGAATGTCAGTATCCATAGAAATAGACGAATTAGTTGCAGAAATTGTGGCACTACACACGAGGGAAATTGCACTGTAAGAAAATAGTTTCATAAAACAATTTTTATCGTACCTATAATGTTCCTAAGCGACCCGCACTCATACGAAATATCTTTTATATTTGGGGATCTGTGGGAATTAAATTCAACAATTAAATGTTTATAAGCAAAACAATTTTTTTTTTACTTCTACTTTTGATGCAAACGACAATAATAAATAATAAATAAACTTCATCAAGATTCATAATGGGGTTGGGACATGCATTTGTTTATTGCATATTTGCAATGTACTCATACAAGGTAGTTATTAAAAAATTCAACTTTTCTCAAACAATTTTTCAGAACGCTACAGCGCAAGAATCAAAACGCTTGGTGACCTTGAAGAGAGCGCGTGACGTCACGGTGTTATAACAGATGTGTCAAGAATTACAAATGAAACCAACATTATGTTAAAATGTTCATCAAAGTATTTATATCGTTTGAAAATCGAGGTAAAAATATATTAGAGGTGCAAGTTTTAAATATTAAAAATAAATTAAGATTTTATAACATGTAAAAAAGAATTTGGTTATGATCAGAATTTTATTTTTGCATATAACGGGTGATTCATTTAGACCTTTTTTTTTTAATTCTAAATAAAACGCATAAAATGGAATTGGATGGAGGAATCTTTATTATGACCTGAAAGAACAATCTTTGACATTTATTTTTTGGCAATAATTTCATTTAAATGCTGGCCACGACGGCACACACAGCGCGCGAAACAATAGCTTTATTGAGAAATCATTTTGGTGAGCAGTTAATTTCGCGTTTTGGACCTGTCAATTGGCCGCCTAGATCGTGTGATATCACACCCTTGGACTTTTTTCTGGGGTCATGTTAAATCAAAAGTCTTCGTCGATAAGCAAGCTACGATTCAGGACTTAGAAGCCAACATTACTCGCGTAATTGGGCAGATACCGGTCGCAATGCTAGAAAGAGTGATCGAAAGTTGGACCTTCCGAATAGACCACGTAAGGCGTAGTCGCGGCCAGCATTTAAATAAAATTATTTTCAAAAAATAAATGTCAAAGATTGTTCTTTCAGGTCATAATAAAGATTTCACCATCCAATTCCATTTTATGCGTTTAATTTAGAATTAAAAAAAAAGGTCTAAATGAATCACCCTTTACTTCATTCGCAAATCTTAACACGCCTATTATACCTACTAAAATACCAATATATCATTTATATTATAAAATCGTGACGTCACGCTATCGGGAAAAGTCATTTTTAAGGAATGGTTGTTTTTAGTGACTAATCTCTACAATAGATGTAGTTTCATACTGATTTTTGACATAATATACAAACCCCCAGAAATACCAGAATTGTTAAAAACATTCTAACTTTATTTAACAAAAATATTTAAAAATATATAAGAGCGTAAACTTAAAAATAATAGGTTCACCTTGTTTATATTGATTCAATTCTTATTATATACAGTTTCGGCCATAATTTTTGGAACCACTGTAAAAAAATCTAACTCTAAAACGCCTTTATTATTTTTTATGAAATTTTGGATAAAAATACTTCAAGTTATATCTCAGTTTACGTGTTTGAGGGTTTTTCTAGAAAATAGTTTTAAAGCCCTTTACACTGTATATGTAGATAAGGCATAACGTATTATGATCCTCCCACAAAAGCTCCTATTTTAATACAAATACTTGAGGTTATCTAACTGTCAGTTTAACGCTAATTGCGTCTTATTTTTATGAAAATTATACAAAATGTATGTATTTTTTGTTTTCTAAACTAAGACTTTTATACACCAAAAGCTTAAATTGTATTATTTTTAGAAAATAAGACGAAATAAGCATTAAACTAACAAATTCTCAACCTTAATTATTTGTATTCAAATGTCAAAGGGGGACTTTTGGGTATATAATGTTTAAAAAATGGTTTTATAAGGAGTTATTGTTTTATATGGTATTTTTAATTTAACAATATGATTCATAATTAGATTCTGTCATAGCATTACTGCTACATATTGACATTTATTCCTTTAGCGAGTTTTGTTATATTTGGAGAATGCATTAGTCTTTTAGCCTGCGTGTGTGTCAGTGTAATGTTAATTATTGTATAGTTTTACTTTATAGATTTAATCTATAGTTTTATTAGTCGAGTCTGACGTAAAATAAATAACCTTTAACTTAAAGAAATTGATCAACTTATTTTGACACTTTTATATTGTTGTTTATTGTCATGATTGCGAATTAAACTACCACTTTATTTCTGGTCGTTTTAAGTCCTTTATTACTTAAATTGGATATACTGAATTTTAGCGTTGTAGAGCAGTGTACATCATAACTTTAAGGTAGTGCTGGACTTTTGGGAAATCCGGTATATATATCTAAATCTAATAAATTTTGAAGTGCAATTTTCTTACTCTTACGAATTCAGCACAGACGCGCCTGTCTAGACATCCAAACAATTCACTACATTTTATCAAAAATATTTCTTGATTCCAATCTTAATTTAAATTTTCATCTTACCCTGTAAAAAATGTTCTAAAACATTTTAAAACTGTCACTCCAATAATGTTATTTCTATAAAAGAATGGGGACAACAATGTGTGCATTACTTTTTACTCCAATTCCACGTCCACTACCTAAAGATGGTCATTTTTTCTAAATGTTATTGCTTTTGAAAAAAGACACCTAAAATTTAAATTATAAGAAACCAGGTACAACTATAAATTGTATAGATAAAAGTTAGGTGGTTAGAATAACCAAAAGATAAAGCACGTAGCATGACAAGTTTACCATCTCAAAAGCACAAAATTACAGCAACAAGTTGATTAAAAAGGTGGAAAAGATAATTTGGTACTAATATAATGTATTTTTTATATGTTTAGGAGCTAGCATTGCACGAGGATGAGGGTCACAACTGGTGGTCGATTATATTTTCCTTATTGGTGATAGGCTTAGTGATATCTGGAATAGTAACCGCCATTTATTTAGCAGGATACGTCGACGAACTCCTCTATTGGCATGGCCAAAGAATGCAACTAGAGGAATTCTTACAGGTAAACTATTATAATAATATTTGATTTAGAAAATAAAAATGCCCAAATCGTCCGGAAAAATAATCAAAACATTAAAACTATAAAACATTTCAATATCGAGGCTCAAGATTATTATTTTCTTGCTACCTGCTTTCTATTGCAGTTTTAGTTTTAGGGCCATTTTCTCGCTATAATTTATTTACATATAAGTATAACTACTTAAACCTACAAAATATCAAATGTAAAATAAAAGTAGAAATCGAAAATGAGCGGGCATTCGAACTAATAATCGCTATTTGAAACGTATATCGTCTAGCAAATAGACTCTACTTAATCAAAATATGTCGATGAAGAGATTACCAACCTAAAATTTATGAAGTCATATGCTTTAAGGACACAGGTTCACGTTTAGACTCTCATAAAAGGATTCATTTATCATTCTTTGGTAAAAATAAGGATCTCTATCAATAAATTCCAGACAAGTTTTAAAAAAATGACAAAGATAAATTTTCCTAATGGCTTATTTGCTTGAAGACACATTGCGGATAAATCAAAACTAAAACAAAAACACCTCAATATTTTTTCGTGTTAATGTTATCACAGCATTCTAGATTTGTTTTTCGACGAAAAAAGCACTTCATTTAGTGGTTCTATAAAATATCAATTTCCTCTAGGAATAGTAAATAAAGGGTGGAAAAACAATTGAGAAGCAGTCTCAAAAGTAGTATTCAATAGGAACTCTTAAAAGCCATTCAGAAAGAAGTCAAGCGTTAAACACTTTTTTCATTGTTACCGATAAAATTTTATCAACTTTAAATATAAATCACTAAAAATTCTCTCATTTATGAATAACGGTAAATCTGAAATTAAGAAATTTTGTACTATGGTAAACTTAAAATAGCTCAGTCCACTTAAAATAGATTGTTTTTAATTTGTAAGTAAATATTTTCGTAAACAAATTGAACGTGGTCTTGAATCCAAATTTAAGTTTTTAACATGCATCTAAAAATTAACACCTACTTCCATTTTTTAGAATGCCCAAAAAAAAATAATTTTGTAATATTTCAAGATAGATTTAATAAAGATTTATAGAGCTCTCCTTGATATAAAAAAGCGATCTTCTAAAATAATTATTTTTCTCCTTTTAGGACGAATTAAATCCCAAAAGATTACCTTCGACATGGATATCTCACTCCCACTTCGTTTTTCAAGCTGATGATGGAAGTTTGGCTGTTTTAGATACTAGTAAAAATTTTACAATTTCGATTTTAGTAACTAATCATACTTTGGTAAGAAAAATGTGCTTTAATAAAAAAAACTTTGGTCAATTTGGTTTTTTTTTACAGAGACAACTGAATGTAAGAGGATATCAGTGCTCTCATGACCTTAAGTTCGTGCTTTTTCAACATAATGTTAAATCAGTAAGTATCTTTTAAGTAATAATTATTAATGTATTTTTGTATTTTGTATTTAAATTAAATGTTATTAAAATTGTACATTCTTCTAAATCCCTCAGAAAATATATTCCAAAGAATAAAAAAAAGCGTAGTTAATAAATAAGATGTTTTGAAACACGAAAACGGTTAATTATGACATTCATTCAGAACAATAACCTCTTTTTTCTTTTAATGCATAATATTGACATTTTTTGTGTTTTCCGTATATAATATTAATAATAATAATAATAATAATAATAATAATAATAATAATAATAAATCTTTATTTTCCAACAGATTTACTATCCAATTACAGGAAAATATACAAAAATAGTCATACTATTTCTCTAGCATTCAATAAAACAAAAAATAAACAAATAATTAATTCAAGTAGCAATAAATAAAATAAAATAAAATCAATGAAAAAAATGAACAAAATAGATATTAACCAAATCAATTAAATTGCACTTTTTTGGCACATTTTACAATAAAACATATATTATCAAAGTTTATTTCACATTTAGTAGATATCCTATTAAAATTGTCACACACAATATATAAAGGAAAAAATAATATAATGACACTAAAAGTTTTGCGAGAGCAGAATTTAAATAGAAGTTTGCGAAAAAAAAATATAGTTTTTTCTGCAGCTCCCCTGCAGCCTGCCCCCCCTAATATATATAATACAAATTTTAGTGGTGCAATTTATAATTCACCATAGTTTATTGATAAAAATCAAAATTTATTAAAAAAGTATCACAGATGTTTTTTATTATTTTAGGAAATGTAATACAAATTTAAAATGGTATAACATCTGTAATACTAAAAAAATTTTGAAATTTGTCAATAAAGTGTGGTAAATTATAAATTGCACCGCTAAAATTTGTATTATCTTTATTAGGGGGGCCAGGCTGCAGAAAAAACTATCTTTTTTTCGTTAACTTATATTTAAATTCTGCTCGCGCAGAACTTGTTAATTTAGTGTCATTAAAAACTCTTATAAATTTGGTATGGGTCCCATGACTAATAACCAAAATATCGGTATACGCAAAATCCACCAGCCGCCATTGATTTTGTAAAAAAAATATTTTTTTTTAAACAGTAGCTCTAATTCAAAAATGATATAGGAAAAACTTAATGATGTTGATAAATATTTACAGGTAGTAGGTGGTAGCCAATTAAATGGTGTTATGCAACAAAGGGCAAACTCGGTTGGTTCTTTGTTGACTAAATAAAAGTCATGCAGCTTAAAGCTTATAAGCTTATTATAATTATAATTAAGATTTACAAAGTGTTTTGTATTATTTTAAATATTTTAATTTAGTAAAATATTCTTAATATGCCCCCTACATTAATAAATTTATTTTTTTTTTAATTGTAAGGGGTGGTTTTCACGAAAGCGTACTGGGGTCACAAAATTATAATAACATTATTTTTTCAATATATTGGATTTATTTCCAATAAATTGAAAATAAATCCAATATATTGGAAATAAATTCAATATATTGAAAATAAATTCAATATAATATATTAATATATATATATATATATATATATTAATAATATTATTGAAAAAAAAAATCCAATATATTGAAAATAAATCCAATATATTGAAAATAAATTCAATATATTGAAAATAAATTCAATATATTGAAAATTTGGCTTTTTTTTACTACTACGGGCGCTAATTTCCATTTTATCGCCGCCGGTAATGCAGGTACCGTTACCTTCAAATCATTTTATCATAGTTATCTAAAACTAGTCTATTTTATTTTATTTTTTATTTGTTTTAATACATTTATTATAATAATTATGAACATCATTATTTTACATGCAAAAAAATTAAACTAATAAAACATTTAATCCTGTTTTTTTATACCAATAATATAATATTGGTCTGATGAATGTAGGTATAGTAGGTTTAAGTTTCATATCAAACACCATAACATATTCCCTATGTGCTGCTATGGCTGAATAGGCAAAATACTTGTGCATTTGCAAGAATATTTTACTTAAAACCAATTTTAAGACGAAAAACTGATAACTGCTTGTCTCATCTTTGGTAATCACAGTAGCTTGCAGGACAAAAGCCACCAATCTTGTTATTATTGCTGCCTTGTATTCTATAGTGTCAAATTCCAGTTACTCTGATTTTATATCTGCCAGAATGGTGACAACCATAAAAACTTAATAAATTCACAGTAATTGGCATTTTCTTCATTTATATTTATGAACTTTTAAATTTCCAAACAAACCGAGAAAATGTGCTGTCAACTGAAATAAAATTTGACAGTAACGGTACCTGCATTACCGGCGGCGATAAAATGGAAATTAGCGCCCCTAGTAGTAAAAAAAGAAAACCAAATTTTTTAATATATTGGATTTATTTTTAATATATTGGATTTATTTTCAATATATTGGATTATTTTCAATATATTGAATTTATTTTTAATATATTGAATTTATTTCCAATATATTGAAAAAAATAATTTTATTATAATTTTGTGACCCTGGGCAGTAGGCTTTCGTAGGTTTTTTGCCTAAATATTAAAAATTAGATTTTTTTTCAATTAATCTGTTAAAAAATCTTACTTTTCTGTGCTCTAATTTAAAACAATGTATTTATTTCTAAATAATGCATTAATTAAATTATAAAATGGCAGTTGGTCCATAAAACAATGTATAATTTATTAACACGAATAATTAAATAAAATAATACATCAATCAATAATTAAATAAAATAATACATCAATCAAAAGTGATGAATGTAGCAAAAGCTATAATCTATAATATAATTAAATTTTATAAATCAACGGGATTATTTTTATTACATTACATTACATAGTAATCTCTGAAAAGGAATAAGTCAAAAATGACTAGTTTTCAAAGTGAAAAAGCAGCAGCATGCAATTTGTATCAGACATTTAACAACCAATTCTTATAAAATTGTCCACTGAATCCGAAAAGACCGTCAAAAATTATAAAAGTATAGCATTTTTAGTGGCATTTTTGACTAATTCATTTTTAGAGAGTAAATTATGTATCAAGCCTATTAGTTACGAATTTTCATTAGGCACGAGCGAGCTTGCAAGGGAGTGTTAAATTAAATGAGTGTCTAGAAAAGTATATACAAGTTGCATATCTACTTTATTTTAACGCCAAATACTTATTATATAAAAATGATTTAAGTTAATTATTTGTATAGGCTATAAAAAAATATAATAAATACCGGCGCGCCAGTTAAAATGTCAAATTTGTAAGTGAAAATAAAAATATATAGAAGCAGTTTTTCACAGTACAAGTGAAGAAAACTGCCGGTAAAATCAAAAGGTCAGTACAAACTTGCATATAAACTTTTGAAATAGGTATTGGTGTTAAGAAAATATTTTATAATTTTTATTTTTGTGTAAAGATAATAAAATAATTTCCACGTAATTATTTCACAAGAAGGGAACTTTATTTTAACGATTACTTTACATTCGACAACTGTCAACTAACTTAAAACTAACTTCATCCCGTGACTAAATACATGTTGCTAACTTGTCGAAACCGTGTCTAAAACGCCATGGCAGTAGAAAAAAACATTAAAATAATAACTAAATCAAACTAAAATTGGCCATAACAAAATAAGCTAGGCGTTAACACACGAAGTCAATTAAATCAATGAAAGGGATTTCGATTGTGGTAGTAAATTTCCAAAAATAAAACGTTAAATCTCGCTTTACTATTAGACCGTACCGCGAGGTGTTTCGTGGGTCCATTAACAACCCCAGTCACGAAACACACTTCTGAACCGTAGATTCGAAGGAATAAATAACATCCACTGCTACATATATAACACAGTTTCCTATTTATTGAAATGGCTGTGTACGTAAATCATTAAAATATCAGAAGTTTCAGGAGCTATTTTTAAAATGGAATATCCACCCTAAAGTAGTTTTGCGGGATATATTACGGGAATTTCGACTCTAAATCCTATTTTTGGAGGATGATGCATGGTGCATTTTAAACTTTAAAATGTAATGAATATCTAGTTTTCAAAAGTTGAGGGTGCATAATTTTTTTATTTATCACCGTCAATAATTATAATTTAATGGTAATTTAAGAAGAAATACAAAATGTCAGAAAATACATCTGCCATTAGCTGCATTATAAATATAGAGTTTTATCATTTTCGGTACAATTTTAAGGCTAGTTTTTCGATATTTTACAAGATTACATTACAAGCAAATATTGCAAAAAATTTAAGTCAGATAAAAACGTTTCAGTTTATTTTATACCCTATTCAAGAATTGTCAACAATACATTTAAAGCATACGAACTGCACGTGGATTGCGTCAGAGTCCCCCGCCCACCCAAACCAATCCCTTGTTATAAGTGTTTTCTTGTTACTTTGACACTGTAACACCCGAAACGAAAAATCAGGTAATTGTTTTATTATTATACTTTACTGATTGATTAGTCTAATAATATTTAGGAAAACTAAGGTTATGGTGGTAATGATTTAAAATATTAACTAATATCTGATATTTGATATTTTTTTTCTTGATTAAAAACTGTAACACCCGAAACGTTTCGGGTGTTACAACTTTTTTCACATTTCGATATATGTGTGTATTGCTTGAAGAATTCAATAAGTATTATTTTTAAGACTCTTTCGATGGCCCACTAGCGCCGCCATCGAAAAAACACCTCTTTTAAATAGGTGTTTTACGAATGGTAACGGACCTAAATACCGAATACTACGATTTTCATCAATAATTATTATAATTATAATTATAATTATAATTATAATTATAATTATGTTTCTGCCGATTTATTTTACCAATTTTTGTCAATAATCACGATTTGACCCTTTTTGTCATATCCCTGCTTAAAAAAATCCATTGAAAACCATTCATAAATGGTTCAATGGTTCTAGGTGGTAACTTTGTACCAGGCAATACACCATTGCTAACTGTTCATGAGTGGTTTCAATTCGTGAA